ATCCTCGCATACATTGACATTTAAAGTGTGGGACTATTTTCTATAGTATCAGGTGCGCTTGATTTTCAATCAATATAATTCAATTATGTTTTTTATAGACTTGCCATCAATCATATTTTGTTCTATGAAAAGCCCACACAAAATCGTTTTCATTATTTCTGCATGGATTTTCGCAAGAAAATTGCCAAAAATATGCTTTAAAATAAGTGAAAAGGAAAGTGGAAAACAGAAAAATTTCCCATCTTTATGGACAGTAAAAGGAGCTTTACGCATTAGGCAGTCGTAAACTTAATATCTTTGGGACGGTTAGGAAGGGTATGCCCTGTAGGCAGTAAGAAGAGTGCGGCCTGCTAAGGCAACCCTTTCTTAATGGGTTATACAGGGTATAGCAATAAATTGTCAAATGATTGTTGGCCCTGCTACAGATGATGACAATGATGATATTTGTGGATTCCAGTGGTTATTTGTGGAATTCGTATACTATATGCAAGATTGATGAGCTTCTGCCGAAGGTTATTCCACTTTTTGTTCTGATGCTTCTCTTGTTTGCCTGCAAAGATGTTGGGCAAATATCAGAGTGTATTGAGTCAACAGCATAAGATAAGTTAGCACCGGGCTGTGATTCAGTTGCTGCTGCTGCTGCTGCTGCTGCTGTTGCTTCTGCTTCTGCTGCTGGCGCTGGTTATATAAAAAGTGCATCAGCATTTTGGCAATGGCACAGTATTCCCATTGTTATCAAGATGTATCGGCTGCTCATACAAATCAGTTGCTCTCTGCTGCTGGTGGCTGCGGTCTCATGGGAGCCAGAGGAAACTTTCACAACGGATGATTCCTTTGAGTTTCCCGCTGGCTTTCCTATGCCCGAGCTCGGCGAGCCGAGTGCTCAGGAAAGAGATTTGATGATGGCGCAGAAAATCAATTGGTTGGCCAGTGACGAGCCTCAGAGCAGGCAGGCGAGGGCGGTGGAGGAGCAGGAGGAGCCAGTGACACAGAAGGAGTCAGTGACACAGCAGGAGTCAGTGGAGCAGGAGGAGCCAGTGACGCCCACACAAGTGGACGAGGTCAAGGCAGGCAACGAGTGCCCCATTGACAACGAACGGGGCCTAACGGCTCTCATACGCAACGCTCGTCCGTTGCTGCCAGCGGATCGATTGCGCAATATACTGTCCAATGCCCGGGAGGATCCGGAGGTGCGAGCGCTGGTCAAGCTGCTGCGCAGCGAGCAGTTCCGGGAGCGTGTGATGCGCCTGAATCAGCTCAAGGAGAAAATCGACCAAAAGGATTTCTTGTGCCGCACCCTGAAACTGAACTATGGCTACTACATGGAGTATGTGCGTCTGCTCTTCAATGCCCAGCTCTCAGAGCCGCCCAGCAGCCCGCTGCCCAATCGTCGCAAGGGCATCCGTGGCCTGCTGCTGGATGTGCGCGATGCTCTGCCGCGTGCGGCGCTCCGGGATCTCTACAGACGACAATTGGCCTCGGACAAGGAGCTGGCCACGGCCGTGCGCCACATACGCAGCAGAGAGTTCCGCCGTCTTCTCATCAACTTGCGCGCCCTGCCAGAGTATCGAGCGTTGCGCGACGAGCTGTCCAAAATGGGCGTGCCCCTGCAACAATTGCTCAGCCTGATGACCAATGCATTGGGCTGGTCGAATCTGGACTTGGGCACTGAGCTAGATGTGGTGACTCTCTAAACTATTCGATTCATAATCGAAGCCACAATTCATATAAATCTATAAAGTATTTTGAATATATTCTTATTAGCTTTCTAATTCTAGTTCAGATTTTCAGAGATATCTTTATTCTTTGATCTCCACATCTATTTGAAATAAACCTTTGCATTCTATATTAAATGTGTATTTAAAGAATTCTATTATTATTATTGATATTTGTTATTTGATATTTTGGTTTCTTTTCATTTTTCTAATAATATGTAATCTATAATAATCTTTAAATATATATATGTATTTAATGTCTATTGGATTATTGATTTATATACTAATTTGTGTTCGACTTGAGTAATCTATATTTATTTTTTATTTTTTTTCTGTCTGCGCATCTTCTTTTGATACCATTCTTAATATTTCGTTACGCCGCCTTTTTTCTTTGTCTTTTCTTCTCGCTATATCAACTCGATATCATTTTCTATTCCTGTGGCTTTTCTTTTGTTAGCGATTTGTCATTGCCTGCCGTGTTTTTCAATTATTTTAGCAGCAGGCTCTCAAACTTTCATATTAGCAATTACCAGAAGTAGCAATTACAAGAAATTTTAATGCGAGCCTACGCGTAACCAGAAAATACCCTGAGTTTGGGTTATATCTACTA